AACGTCGTTAGTTCCGTAAGTGTAGGGCATGTTTCCTCCTGGGGGTGTGACGGTGATCTTCCCCCGATAGATGGCGAGTTCTGGTGCCGATCTACATATCGGCTTGCGGTGTTTTCCCCAACCAGGTATCTCCTACCAGCGGGGTACCGCCCCAACCGGGACAAGCTCTAGACTCCCGACTGGTATCACGAGTGTGTGAGTACGGGTAGAAGAGAGGACAAGGAGGGGAAGGGAAAGATCGCGTGAGGTCTCTGACCCGTTAGAGTACTGTTCAGGCATTTGTCAGGTGATGACCAGAGAAAATGCAGAACACTACAGATCAAAGCAGTCGGCCGCTAGAATTGTACTCCAGACAGCGGCTGAATTCGACCTAGCTATCAATGTAGCTATTGTAAAAAATCCTCGATTCGGGACTCGAACCCACAGGCACTGCATGACATCAATTGATACCCTGAATCACCTAAGCAGGTGCATCCCATTGGGTGAGGCAGCCTCACACCTTGGAGTAGGCTCAGATAACAAAAAATAGGCGTGTCTACAGAAGAGAATGTAAAGAATTGTTTAAGATATGTACTACAATACTCCAAATAGCCCTTCACAGTATTAGTATGTAAGTATACACTTCGTATACATTTGAGAGATAAACATATAATTGTTTTGTCTAAAAAGTGACACTGAAACTCTTAAAACAGACACATCTTGAGAGTCGTTGTTCAACTTAAAGTTAAGAAATAGCAACTCGAGCAGAATATATTGATAGAATCTTATTTGCATTATCAAGGACAACTTCAGTAGTGTGTACATTTCGTAATGTCAGATTCATTATCTTAATGTCATAGGAAGCCATGAAATATACATTTGGATGTATGAGAAATAAAACTCATTCGTTAACAGGCACAATATCTAGTCATATTCTATATACAGTTGCCAGATTGCGTAAGAGGAAGGTCTAAAGTTAGAGATGTCAAGGGATCATATATTTGAATGTAGAGAGTTTTGCAGATCATTACTCTCATGATTTCATGATGATCATTACGGTCATGATTTTCGGAGTTACGGAATAACTAAAAATAATGGTTAAAAAACGCATAAATATTGGAGGGGGCGTAACATTTAGTAAACAAATAGTAGTTAAGATGCATTTCCCGAACACTACATACAAATAATTACAGGAAATCCATACAAACCTTGATTCCAGCTATGAGTTTTAGTATTATAATATCATGTTGTTCCAAATGCCAAAACCGTAGCTCATACTAATACGGATCTTTAAACTTTCACATTCGTAGACACTCCTTGGCTCATCAAATTCTAACAACCAGGCTAGTCTATTGCTGGAAATCCTTGAGTTATGCTCCCGGGCAAGTCACTAGCGGAGGACCACAACCACCATATTTTCAAGTATATCCAGTAGTACATCCAAATGTAATTTCATTTATTACTAAATTAAGTTTCAGAGTAACACATCATAATAATTATTCGTTTATTAACACAAAGAATGAGAAACGATAGCAAGGTATACACGAACACGTTTTGCCAGCCTTCATTACTCAAAAATTTTAAAAATGCATGGCAAAATAATATCATGAAGATGCTTCCGAAGTGTCGGATAGCCGTACGAATTGCAAATCACCACAGTATCACCCGTGTTTTTTTTAAATTTATTGTCAGAATGTATTATTGAATTCATAAGGAGTTAAGTCATAAATTTACATTTTTAATATACCGCGAGCACTGAGTTAGCTTCAATAAATCAATCAATGGTTTTAACTATAGTTCCGAGGAGGTTCATACTTTCTTTGATGCCCCCCCCCCAAAAAAAATTAAAAAGTGTACGTGCCAGAAACCCCCACGTCAGTGTGATCATGTAAAATACTTAAATATATTATTTAAAGAAAGTCCCTCTAATACGCGACATTTCTCTCATCATTTGACTTAAGACTTCATTCAAATAACTTGCATATTCCAGGAATAGTTTACAGGTAATGAATTATGTGGGCATTTTTTATAATCAAGGTTCATTTGGCAGAAAGTGTGGAAGTTTTTATACTTCGACATTTTGTGTGCTTAAACCGGGGCTTTGCAGACTCGTGCAGAGCTCAAAAGAAAATTGCCGAGAGCAATCTGGGCAACAGCCAAGAGGTGGAACGCAATCGTTAAATCCCGACCTCGTGACTCATAAGCAGATAAGGCAGAAAACAATGCTGAGAACTCTGTGCACGTACATAGTGTCCATAAAAATGCTTGGTATCTTGTTTACAATAGAATTTGAGCGTAGGGTTCGGTCGGCGGAACGGAAAAATGCATGCACTCTGGGGTTCTGGAAGGATTAAGATACTTCACTTTCGGATCTTGCTTATTATTAATAGCAAGGTGTTAGGTAATATCTGCGGAGACTTCATTTCACTGCATGGGAGAAAAGTGTGGGGGTTGATATTTGGCCGGCATGACTATTATAACAAATCTTTAGCTCGTTCTTCAGTGTAAAATACTCGGAAATTACACGAAAGCGAGCATTTCTGAACATCGGATTACGTCAACAACGCTCCTTGCTATAATTTATTCTGAATACAACTAACGTTAGTAAAAGGAGTGGGTTTAGATCTTTCAGGGTTCAAGAAAACGTGCTTGTAAAACAGCTACCCTCCAGGTCGTCCTCTTCTCAGTTTTTCTTTTTACTTCTAGGTACTACTAGAAGCAGAAATTCAGTGTCAAACTAATTCAAGAAACAGTCTGGCAGCCTTTTTCTAATATGATAGGATTTTTTTAGGTCATTTAGAGACATAATCTAACGTGTCTAAAGCAAAGTACTAAAGAAAATTCATAAAACTCTTCATAAATTCCAAACTCATTTTGTTGATGGTAAAATCTCGTTTGGTTTCAAATGATATAGTTAAAGCAAAGAGTGTTTGCTGATTTTTTCCAAATAGTGTAACTCTACATTAAAATCCTACAAAGATTTATATCAATTTTACATTGCTAATAAATTCCGAGTACATTTGAACAGTATAAAATTGGCTAAATGCTCCTATTACTCAAAAATACTTGTATAGAAAATGTTTTTGAAGATTAAGATTTATCTTCAACTGAATAAGAAATAGTTTTAGATTATCACTCTACAAATTGTGATTATGTATCCTCATATTTAACGTCGAAAATAAAATGAAAAATACACAAAAAATTCATCGAAGAACACAAAAGATGAATATTTTTGCAAACTGACGGTATAGCATTTTATGAACAATATACTATGTTACTACAGAGATAAATCTATGAATTCAATTATGATGGGGATGTGAATATGGTTGTGTTTCAATAAGGTATAAATTGTCCTTGCAAACAATAAGCTATAAATTGTCCTTGTTCAGCACTCTGGACCGTTAAGCAGAAGTTTCTGGAAACAACAAAATTCTGTTAGAGCTAGAGAACTCCATAGTGTTATATTATTCAATATTATAATAATAAAATCGAAACACTTTGCAGTTGTTTTTAAGGATCTGCACTATCCACCACTGTATGAGTGGCATAGTAGTGTGAGTAATACTTCCAAAAGAGAAAAGAAAATTCAAATCTAAACCTTTTATCCCACAAATTAAAACAAAAAGTAAAATGACCTAACTAATTTTCTACTGATATAATGAACGTAATAACATAGAAATGCATCAAATAAAGTGTTCTGTCGACTTCGACCGTGTTGTTTTTCCACGTCTCGTGTGTGCACTACAAACAAACGCCGTCTGTTCGTGAAGACTCTAACTCCCCTCCCCCGAACCCACCCCCCGCATTAACCATGCACTCCATATATCAATCCAAGATTTTTTTTAAAATTTCGTTTACATCAGTATACAATGTCTCTTTTTGCTCTGTCACTTGCTTCTCACAATGTTTCCAGTAATTATTTCTCAAAGCAAGCGGTAAAATTTAAGGAACGTGCTTGGGTACTTTTCTCTCCGGGAAAATAATAACGATTTTTTTCATTGAAGTTTAACTGGAGGTTGTCAAAATATTCTTGGGACTCGCTACAACACCTTAAGTATATTTTTGTTCCTAATGTTTATTCTAATTGGTGCCAATTCACGTATTTGAAATGCATTAAGCTCATCTGCTGCAACTTCTCTCTTCAGGGCTACGATATATAGAAAGGTTGTGATTAAAAAACTTTTTATTGAGCAATCTATTCTCACTCAAGCAAGCAGAATCGGAAGAGTGTGTAACTCGTCTCCAAATAAGTCGATGTTATTCAAAAAGCGGTAACTTGATGACGCAGCGGATAAGACCGCTAGCATGTGTTAACCAAGAGTTAACGTTTCGAATTCACATTAATTCATGGGTACGAATGTAATTTATAGAAGAACACGTGAATCGAGTTTACCAAATCCATTATTTCCCATTTCACATAGGATTACGCGAAGTTTATAAATTGATGAACACTTTGTGTTGACATATTGTTGAAAGATGATGCGCAATAAATTTTGGATTATGAACTCATTTTATTTTTTTAATCAAAAATCAGTAAAACTGTATGCGACGTATGGGGGAGAAAATCAAGCAAATAGTATCATTAAACAGTGATTAATTGAAAATAATGTAGAATATTCACACTAGTTCATCTCTAGTGAACCATTTAAGCATTTGAGTATCATATTCCATTATTGACATTTCATTGTTACCCAATGATAGGCAACTCCGCTCTGAGCTTTGATGAAATGTGTTTCTTTCTGAAATTGCTGTTTTTAATATTATATAAATGCTGTGAATAATTTAATAACCTATAAAGGATGATCAGACGTGTGTTGAAGAAATCAAAGCCACCTAATTTCAACAACAACAACAACAACAACAACAACAACAACAACAACAACACTCTAATCCAGGAGCCTGTTGCCAACGGACAAAGTCAAAATATTCCTCGTACAACAATAATAACAATGATATAAATATTAGTAACAATAATCATAACAGCACCGACACCAACAATAAAGAAATGAATTTCAATTTACCTTTGTACACAGCAGCTGCTCAGTCGACGTGAACGTCGGTGAATCTACTCCAAACCCAAGCACCAAAACAAAGCACCCGATCGCCCGTCCTCCCAGCTGTGACAGGAATAAGCGCCACGCCGAAGGGACAAGAATACAACACTAGACTCCCCAACCCGGATTCCCTAGTCAGCGGTCGCTCTCACCCGCGCTGCCACGACAAAGCCTCCGCGGAGGAGTCTGTTGTTGCGCCGTGCACGATCATCCAGTGACGCAGCGTCGGCAGCACGCCGACACACACACACACACACACAATCGGCAGAGCTCGACTCAGCTGGAGCGGTGCCCTCCCTCCGGCAGCCAGCATTCAGCGAGAGTCAACATTACGGCGCCGCTCCCCCGCCTACTTCCGCTGATAGTCCTCGTGCGCACTCGCGCCCAGCGCTGCGAGCGGCGGAGCAGGGAATTACTACGGCGGTGTGTGTTGATGCCAGCGAACTCTGGAGTGTTGGTGAAGAAGTAACGCCGTCTTCTCTTCACGTTCCTGCTCGTTGTCGACAAAACTTTCAGTTTGGGGTCAAATTAGTAATCAAGTGTTATTAATATTTTTGTGAAAGCTTCAAATAAATGTTGCTATATGAAAAATGTTCAATTAAACGCGAAGCATGTATGTATTTGCCATCTTGGGTCAATAGTCCGACTTTGCCGGCCAGCTAACGGTGTCCCCTGTATCTGGGCCTAGTTAAATTCCCATGCTTGAAGATAAGAGCGACATGTAGCGAACATGGAATCGAACCCGGAATCACACTGCGGGAAGTCAGTACGCTGCCATTGAGCCATCGTAGAATCAAATCCAAAGTATTTACCTAATTAAGACATCGAATGGTGTTTTTTAAATAAGGTACGAAAAAACGAATTTAAAGTTAAAATAATTACCAAACTATTAGTGTAATTACGCCAAAGATGCAATATTTGGATTATAGTAATTCACTTTCATCGACTTTTCCGCTTTGAGTGAAGAAATGAAAATTTGGCACCACTTCTACTGTGGAATAGTTGTTTTAGTTTATTCAAGATGTCTTCCAGTAATTTTGGCGCATTGTGCATTTCTCTTATTTCTTCCTAAAAGAATTGAAATATGAAAGAAGTATAAAGAAACAATAACTTGTTTACTGCAATTTCAAAACTGCAAACAATTCATTAGTAATTGTCATTTGATAATTAATTGTTAATGAGATAGATTTTACAGGTCACAAATCCAGGGTATCACCTCCAGGTGACACAGGGAGTTGAGCTTGTTTGATACAGACTCAATACAACGGCGTGATCTCGTGTGGCACGCAATCTTACGTGTTTTATTTTTATCGTTTGAGGTGTAAAAGTGCTTTAGAGTTTAGAAACGATAGATGAGCATTACCAAGATGATAATTTTCTTTTGTTACCTCCTGGTGTTGCTTTGTTTATTGATGAATAAACGGGTGACGAACCTAAAAGGAACACGAATCATCTGCTCGGCAGACTTCTGAACTTAGTTGTTGAAGTTCACAAGACGATGAAAGATGATTTTGGCGCAGGAAACGTTTATTATAGAGATGTAGCATGTGAAGAAATAGTTTAGAAAAAAGCAATGCAATCTGACTCTTCGGGGAGGAAATATTACAAGAAGAAAAAAAAACTCAATTGTAAACCCAATGGGTTAAAGATAAATACTACTAGCATCTCATCCTGGTAAAAGAGATAATAAGTACTATTCTGAACGGCAAATCAAAAGCTCCCATATTATAACAATGGGAATTGCCGAGTTAAAAAAAGGTTATGAACAATTTTTTGTAAAAGTTAGTAGTTTTTGAGTAATTTCTCTTTGAAATTAATAAAGCAAGGGCGTCCCGTCGTACATAAGGATAACATTGTTTTATTACGAGAATTCATGTGCTGTTGTAGCACCACCAGTTTTTTATTGTGGTGGATTGCTCGCAAACAACAGCCATTGACAACTGTCACTGTTGTCGATCCCGAGGCGGAACGAAACCGTTTGCTATTCGGAACATTTCCCCGGTGTTGTTACCTTCTTTTGATTACTTTCTACGTGGTAATATCGTTTAACTGCATTTTAAACCTTGAATACATAGAACATTGAATAGAAAATTAAAATGACAGTCAAAGTTAAGGCAGAATTTACTTTCAACTTATATAGACGTGTTATGAATCATATTAGAACCGGGGCATTTTACTTCGAAATGTTTCATCGTACTTAAAACATCAATATTTGCTGTCGATGTTTTTATCGACAGCGAAAACCTTTTGGAGATGTGTCGATGTTTTGTTAAAATTTTCCATCACTTGTGAAGACACGCAGAACGTATGTACAATTTGTTGGCACTGTTGATTGAACTAAATTCTCCACTACCACCTCCCCCCCACCCCCCACCCCGAGCTCAAGAAAATATGAGCAGAGAGGGAAGCTTTATGTCAAGAAGCAAAGCAAGGGGTCAGGCAAAGCATTAAATATGCAGGCAAATGGTAGGATACGAAGCTCAGTAAATGTATGCTTGCAAAAATCACGTAGAAGGGATTTGATTCGTATAGATATGTTTCGTAATCGATAAGTCTGGTTACTATAGGATATGTTTCCCCTGAACATTATACCATATCTCATTCGACGAACTTGATCTCAAATGCGATTCGTCCTAACGCCACCTCGTACCAATCATCCAATTCACATCATTCATTGCAGTCTAGCAGTAATGTGACGTGACGTCACGAATAGCACGGGGAATGGTCTGCACAAATGCAGTCCAAACTAAGGACGGTTCCAGAAAATGCAGAAAGGGCAGAAAAAGGCTATTATATAAAATTAAGGAGCACAATTTCTAAAAGTTCAATTTATTTGTGTATCAGCTAAGTTTTAAATCATACTTTGAATTTGTATTTATTAATTTATAAATGTTTGCAAATTAAATTACATACAATATATTTTTATTAAATATCTATAAATTTATAATATAACAATTAAAATGTATCCACGAAAAGTTCAAACCTGTTTGAGATTTAATATGGAGAACTCTAGTATATAAGCTCAATTTTAATAGTAAGTTTTGAATGTTAAGAATCTGAATGTTTTCACAAGGTTGAGATCTTTATTGATTTCACGAAACGGTTATAATTTTGAAACGTACTTATAACTTTTTTCAAATTAATTCCGTACATTTTGAAAGGGAACGTTGCTCCATGGTTCCAAAGTCAAATCCTTCTTGGTACAAAGTAGTGTATACGCCAACGTGCAGCCACCGCTGACTCGTTTCCGCGCGCCTCAACCGTGCGAACTTCACTGGAGATGCTGAATTGTGGACCATCAACTGCAGATGACAGCAATCTTCTTTGAACGTGGTCTGCATGTGAAGAGATGGTTCTCAACGAGAGCTCCAGCACGACCACTGACGTGCTGCGACTGCTTGGCGTACCACGTTTACCTGCGGAGCAATACATACATTTATGATGTCTCAGAATAAATGTTACAAACTCCTAGGGCGTATATGGGGGGATCGAAGATGATTACGTTTTGCCAATGAACGTGTGAATAAACGTCTCATGAACGTTTCATATAATGAAATAACACGTAGCATTTCCTCCTGGTTGGTAGACAACTCATCTCACACTGCTCATCTCATATCTTTTGTTGTCAAGGCCACCCAAATCTCTTTGCGTCAGAATATGAACCAATACACCAGTGGTGTAGCTAGGGAGGGGCAGAGGAACGGTCCGCCCCGGGAGTCACCATTTTAGAGGTAACGCCAATTAGGCAATTTTGTAGTTGGAATTTCGAGTTAAAATACCAACGCTCAGAAATCACATCAAAACAGCAAAAATCGATCTAAAAGATGCTGAACATTGGGCTTCTCTAAATATGTTAGTTTTCATTGTAGAGTGGGACTTTGTAAAATCTCTTGCAAATCTTTTCTTTAGGCTGAAATTATTTCTTACAATTTGTGCTTCTGACGTCTCATGCGAAAGAAGCTTCTCCGAATTAAAGCTTATAAAATCTTATTTACGATCTGAAATGAGTGAATATATTCATAGGGATACATAGGACATTCTGATTTGGATATATTGTCTATAGAAAATTTTATTGCAATAACTCTAGAGTTTAATGAAAATATAAAAAACTTTGCTACCCTTAAATCTCGAAAAGTATTTTTATATAAAACATACATTTCTTACTTAGTTATGATTCTTTATTTAAAAATTATATTTCAATTATTCTGAATTACATACACTTTTCCAATATATTATAAATAAACTATATGTGCAATACACACTATGCGATCTAAAGTACCCGGACACTTTGCTGCAAATGACTCACAAGTTCGTGACGCCCTCCATCGGTAATGCTGGAATTCAGTAGGGTGTTGGCCCACCGGCGGGATTACAGCTTCCACTTTCGTAGGCATACTTTCAATAGGGTGCCACAGGCCGTGCAGTGTGCTCGGCCTGTGGCACCCTATTGAATTATCATTGGATCATTAGTCCCGTAAGTGTGGCTCATGTTTTATTCCTGGAGAGATATTCCCCCGCTGAATGGCGAGATCAGACGCCGGCTTACGATTTTGTCCTCAACCAGGTATCTCCCAAAAGGCCTAAGCTCCCAACTGACCTCCCGGTATGTGTGGTGAAGTAGTGCATATGAGAGTAAGAGTGTGTAAATAAGGTGTGAGGATAGGAGGAAGGATACAAGGAAGAGGGAAGAAAGATCGCGCGCGGTCCGTGGCCCGTTTGTTAGGGTACTGCTCCAGCATTCGCCGGGTGTAGGTCGGAGAAACCATAGATAACTACCCATCAGAGCCGTCAGCCGCTAGAAGTCTCCTCCAGACAGCGGCTGAACTCGACCAGACAAGCTAGTCTCGAAAATCCTGCCACCGTGGGGACTCAAACCCTCCCTCTCAGTCACTGCAATGACATCAGTTAATGCTCTGAACCACCTTTTCCGGTTTATGGTTGGAGCTCCTTCTTTCGTAACCAATTTTTTTCATTTCCTCCCTATACTATTTTAAAGATACCAGTAAATAGACCCTATACTACAGTAAAGAAATTCTTATTCTCATATTTAAACACAGAATCATTTTGTTTCTTTCTATTCTATCCTTTATAACTTTTGATTCACAGGACCCCGGCTCCCTGAATGATATTTATAAACTTATGTCTGAAGTAAAAGTTTGCAAAAATAAAATAATAACTCGTTTTAAAAAATTATATTCATGTTTCCATCAAACTATATTCTCAAGAAAATATGTACTGAAGAAATTGAAAACCTTCAGAGACCCCTTATGGTTTTATTTATTTATTTATTTATTTACAAGTTATTGATATCTACAGTAAATATATTTTCAAGTGTTCGTACGAAATA